TACGTGACTATTCATGGCATGTCAGTATCCTTGCATTTTATAGACATTCACCATTTGGTTTCCCTTGCTATTATCTTGTAATGCTGACGAGGAGTTGTTTTTGCTTTCAGCTCCCCCGCATTCAGGTTACTGATCCAATTGCAAGATATTATGGTCTGAAGCGTGGACATGTCGTGAAAATTATCCGACCAAGTGAGACTGCTGGTCGTTATGTTACTTATCGATATGTCGTTTAAATTTTTTAGGCACTGTGGTTAGTTTGTCATTCCCAAGAACTTAAGGACATGTTTGGCACGGTGGATTGGAAGTATCAAAGAAAGTTAAAATCTCATCTATTGTATTATTGTTCTATCCTTTATGGTCCAAGACTAAGTATCAAACTTGGACGGCAAAAAAATTAGAAGTCACTTGTGTAAAATGCTGTTGCCTGGACCATTTATTTTTTTGTCATTGTTTAATTAAAAACTCTGCAAACTGTGGATACAACTTTGGATTAGTAGAGATGTCAACTTTTTTTGAGGAATTTTATTCATGTACTATGTTTAAAATGTGGTGGAAATACTATAGTACATTTTGGGATTTGTTTTGTCAAATGCAGTTTGGCTGGTTTACCAAAAGTTCTCTTTTAAAATGTGAATTAGGTCGTGTTTGCTGTAAATTTTTTAAAATTCATTTTAAACCACATTTTTCCAATAAAAAATAGTCTTGTGTGTGGATTCATAATTTCTTCCTACTTTTTAAGCCATATATTTTAAAATGATCTAACTTTTCACCGAATTTATTTTCAAAATATTTATTTCATGCATGCTAATATAATTGATATGATGTGTTGACCTTGAAAAATGGACCTCTACATGGTTAATAGAGAGTAACTTCATGTATATCTCTACCTATACACTTGGCACAAACAATTAGTCGCTTGTGACCATTTCCATCGATGGTGGTTGCGGTCGAGAACACTTTGATGATCAAGTAAGTCAACTGTAATTGTGCACAACTAATTTTGGTAGCGAGAGCCATTGAAATTTCTATATTTTCTAGAGGACAGGAGAAATAGTACTTCTTATAAAGGCATAGTGCACAGGTATTTATAGAGAAAAAGGTGGAAGAACTGTCGGATGCAGAACGCGTGGTTTCATCTGTTGGTTTGAAATATATCTTATAAAAGTCCAACTATCACTCTATAGGTAGGCAAGTATTCAATGTTTCTGGATTCGAATTGACAGTGTTTGCTATTGAGATGTCACATCCATTATTCATAAAATATTATTTTGAACAGGTCTTTGCCTAAAAGATCCATATATTATGCCAAAGCATCGATTGCCAACCAGCAAATGCTTGACCTTGTTCATGTCGATGCTATCTACTTTAGATATGTGCCTCGTATTATGCTGCTATATTGCTTAGACGCTTTGACGCCTCAAAGGGTGGCCCTCTGTCAATTCAACTTTTCTCAACATTAGTACTCCAGAGCCTCATCCTACGGCTAGGACATCGTGCTACCCTCCAGAGCCTCATCTTACGGTTAGGACAACGCTTCTGCCAATCCAACTTTTCTCGAAACTACTACCTTCCAGAGCTTTATCTTACGGCTAGGACATCGCCTCTGCCAATTCAAGTTTTTTCAAAGCTGCTACCCTCCATATCCTAGTCCTACGGCTAGGACACCGTCTCTGCTACTCCAGCTTTTCTCAAAGCTGTCACCCTCTGGAGCTTCTTCCTATGGCTACGACACCATCTTTGCCAATCTAGGTTTTCTCAAACCCTCTAGAGCCCTATCCTCTAGCAAGGATCGTCTACTACAACCATACGTAATTCCCTGCATTATATGAATATTTGTGTCGGGACCTGGAAGAGTTATGAGCACCTAAAATTTAGTTCGTTTAGAACAAAGTTCACGCATTATAAAAATATCCATACATGGACTTAGGGGGACTATTGTTACGCTTCTGATAATCAACACAGACCCACATTTCGAGGCGTTGAAGCATCTAAGTAGTATAGCAGCATATTACAAGGCTAATAGCCGAAGTAGATAGTGTCAGCATGTACAAGACCGAGTCGCATCAACTAGAAGACACACATGCTAGTTGGCAGTCGATGCTTCGATATAATATATGGATCTTTTAGGCAAAGATCTGTCCAAAATAAAATCTTATGAATGATGAATATGACATCTCTGTAGCAGATTTCACTATGTCAATTCCAATTCAGAAACATTAAATGCTTGCTTACCCATGGAGTGATAAATGGACGTCTATAAAGAGACATTTTGGACTAGCGAATGAAACCACGTGTTCTCCATCCAACTGTTCTTCTTCCACACTTTTTCTCTATAAATATTAAATACTTGTGCTCTATGCCTTTGTATGATAACTTTACTATTTAGAACTATTATTTCTACTCCCATCTTGAGATAATATAGAAATTACGATGGTTCTCGCTACCGGAATTAATTGTGTGCAATTATAGTCAACTTACTTGATTGTCAGAGTCCACCACCATGAGGAATTGCTACGAGCTAGTGGCTGTTTGTGCCAAGTGTACAGGAACGAATATACATGAAATTGTTCTCTGTTGGCCATAGGAAGGTCCATTTTTCATTGTCAACATTATGGTTTTTTTTTTTTTTTTTTTTTTAACCCATGCAATGCATGGGTTGCACTTTTTTGGAAGTGTTGTTAGTGTGTTCAATGTTATATGAATTCAACAATTCAAAGAAAACAAAGTTTTTTTAATGTCGAGAAGTTTTTTCTAGGTAGTTTGTGTTTTGAATTTTTTAGTTCGTATGGTCGGAATGCTATATTATTGGCTAAATGCAATGAAATAAAGTTGTAAATAGAACATTTTTTGTACATTACAATAAATAATAATATGAATATAACTATTATGTTTGCTTTATTTATCTATTAGAAGTGTGCAGAATTGAAAGCTAAAGAAAGAGTAAAATTTAATAGATTGCGGCAGTGTTCTTTTGCAAAAATACAAAAGTTCATATATACTGACAGTAAATGTGCAAGAAGATAATCACAATGTTTACATTCTAAAGGATAAAGAAGAAAGAAAAAAAGCCCAAAGCACTCTCTCAACTTCTTAATCTCAAAAGTAGCAAGTTATTATTGGTAGGGTTGTAGTTAGGAATTTTTCATTAAGGAACTGCACACATGCAATCTTACTTGATTGCCAACTACTACAAATGTAATGTAGATGATTTCCATTCATGCTTTTTTCCAGGGTGGAGATATTGGTCTGGTTGTTAGTTTCATAGCTTTCGCGAGCCTTCTTCGGTTTCAAGTATGATTCAATAATTTCATCCGATGTTTGTAAGAGAGACTTTTTTGCAATTATGGATTATCCAAAGACTAAATTGTCAAGCACATTATGTCCATGTCACTCAAATTAAAAAGTTATTAATTGATTTAGAATTTAATGACAAGAATCATCTGAAAATAGTTAAAACTTACGCAACCTAACAAAGGCTTTTCGAATCACCAAAAACACATCAAAATACAATCTTACACTGCTTGAAAATTTTTTAAATCTTTCATCAAATTATTAACATGCATCATAAAACTCATATGATTACGAAAAAATAAGAGGAAAATAGGGATGAAGAATGTAAAGCAGAGATTGTTAATCAATATATATTTGCACAAACCAGACAAAGGAGACCCCCCCAGAACGGACTTCTAATTTTTAGCAAGAAGGTTGATTTTCGTCGTCACTTCCGCACAAATCTCTTCTACAGCTTTTGATGGAAAAAAGGATAAGAAAAAATTAAGAAAACATACCTACAAGTAGTATTAATCTAAATAACAAGGAAATAATAATTAAAATAAAAATTGTAGAGAGAAAGTGCAGAGGTAAAATGAACCTTTGAAGCCTCATGACTGATGTAAAAATGGAAATGTTTCTATGTATGTGACAATCAACAGTAATGTCGTATTACATTATAATATCCTTCATCCTTAGTATTGAAGAAATCACTTATCTTTTCCTAGTCCACTCGTTAATTAATTAAGAATCCATTTAACAAACTAAAGAATCCCGATCAATTAATCCTTCAAAGATCCTTAATGGTAAAGTCCACTTTCTAAGTCGACGATCTTTCAACAAAACAATCTATTTTCACAATAATTGTTTGAAAAAATGGAAGTTACATGTGAATCAATTTGAAAAAGAAGAGATTTTTAGATAATAGAGGATTTTAAGGTCTTAATTTATTGGAATGAGAGAGGATTTCGGCAAAAGAGAGAAGTTAACGTGTAAGGAAGCCTCTAATTCTTATCTCTACTTTCTACTTATTTAATATTTTATTATTATATGGAAGTTTTTTTGCACTTGCTTCTCTTCCAACACATAGGTACAGTACACATATGAAAGATACAGTTTTTGCTCTTCTTTCAACACAACCAAAAATAACACTTAAGTCAAATTTTCAGATAAATAATGAATGTTGGCCCACATTTGACAAAGTTGGAAAAAATCACTGACATCTACTTTTTTTTACTACACACAAACAGCTACAATGCACATCAGATGGCATGACTTCTCACACGTAAAAAAACCAAATCCAAACCAATTAAGCTACAGGGCACATCTGAATGAGCTAATGAATAGTAATTAACCACTTGCAGTGTGAAAACAAGGTTACACAAATGAATAGCAAATGAGGGTTTCATTCTTTCAAATGAATGCTAGTGGGTCGCACGTGCAAGACACGTGCTATAGTATAGTTGAGTATGTAATAGCGTTGGTTATTTTCTAGCACCAATAGTCAAGTCTTATTTTGTAATGTTGATAATTGAGAAGGGAAAGAGAAGTTTTGATGAAATAATGAAATTGTGCAAAATTTACTTTGGGCAAGTTAAAAAAGATAGAGTTATGATGGAGGAATCAATATGAAAAAGAATTTTGTTAATGGTTCATAATGAAATGTTAACTAATAAATTAAAGCAAATATTATAAGAAGCAAACGAAGGATGATCTATATGTTTCAGAAGCTGCACTCATTAAATCTTCATAATCAAGTTAGAAGCTAAAGCATTATAAAACTTATTATACATTGTTGTTAAGTTCAAACTTCATGGAAGAGTTTTCACACAAGTAGTGTTTGAAAACAAAACAAAGTTACATGCCAAAAGCCTCACAAATTATTGTTTTCAGTACTACCAAATAAAACAAAGCTTTGGAGGTGGTTGTAGTAGAATCATTTAGATGGAAAGGACAGAACGAGCAAATAAAACTTTTATGTTGTGACATTGATGTTGTCTTCAAACTGGTATGATGATGATTAATTAAGTTTTCCTCTTGTTACGACTTGATCATCTATTAGATGGTCCATTGTAATCATAAAAAGCTTCCTACATTCATAAAGAAATTTAGAAGGAATTATTGTGAGATAAAAATATAGCAAAAGAAAATTACATTATATTTAAACAATCATGTTGTGATAACTTACCAAGTTAGATATCATCTCATGGATTAAATTGACGTTACATCCAATCTCATTAAAATTAGATC